AGCTCATCTTTCTTCTATATCTTTAATTTTTTTTTTACAATATCCAAATAAATGATTCTAAATACATGGGTTTTTAGTGCAAGACTTTAAATTTAAATTTATCAATTCAAACACTAACTTAAAAACATTATCAATTGCTAAGTGCCCCATTTGGATCGAAATTGAACAAATGAGATTATAAATAATCATGACTTTTAAAAGTAATATTAATATTAATTAAAAGTGAATATGAGAAAGTTAGTTCTGTTTGGATTGTATAAACCAAAATCACGTTTTGATATATAATTACTTAAAAGGTATGATTTTTATAAATTTGCGTGATTTTGTACCATTATTATTATCAAATATGATTTAATAAAAATCCAATCGTAATTTTTTTAACACAAAAGCAACTCCTGATAGCTTCTACTCAACATGCAGTAAAGAATCCAATTCAAGATTGATCAAGCTTTTCAAAGAAGTAGCCAAACAATGCAAATGAGCTTCATAATCACTTATATAAATTCAAACAAAATTATATACGCTTTCATAGCTAAAACAAACTGGCACTAAAATGGGCTCACTTTAAAAAATAAAAGAAAAAAATTACAACCACACATGCACTGGATCCAAATTTTTAGCAAACACACACGTTTGTGTGTACATGCGTGAAGTATTTGATTTATGATCAGTTTTATTTTACAGAAATTAGCCGTCAGAATTTTTATTCTCTACTTGTTTTGTATAATAATGTCAGTCAAAGAGTCCAATATTTGACAAATATACATGTTTTAAAATTAAGATGCTGTAGTGGGTCTATATTCTTAAGAGTTAAACCATGCATGTGAGAATACAATGGAAAAATGATAAGTAGGGAACTTCTAATGCCTTCAATTATTATTAGGGAGCTTAAATTATTGAAATTTGAATAATGAACAATGATCCTTACTTGAAATTAAAAAAAAAAATCTGAATAATCTAAAATGCTCCTCAAAAGTGACTTTAGTAAATTTTCAAGTAATTATTATATATTTACAAGTCTCTTTGAAAAGTTTTAAAAATGAATTTTAGTTTCATGATGGAAAATAATTCATTCCTAACTATTTTTTTTGGTTTTCTAACTAAGATTAATATTCCCATTCCATGATATTAATTACAGAAATGTCATTTCTTTATTTTTTAAGTAGAAGGCAATTTTATAATCTCATATATGTTTTTAATTTTAATTAAATACTATAGTTCATGATTGAGATTTTAATAATTTAAGGTCCCTATTAAGGGTCCCTTATTGTCATTTCCTGAATATAATTGATTGACCGAATGGTCAAGCTATATGTATTATTTTTAAAGAATTATAAATATTTTCTATAAAAATAGGTTGGGTTTTACACCTTATTCTCAACTCTTTGAAAACATGTCCTGTCTTTCCTATCAAATTCTGTGTACATATAATTGCTCATTTCAGTAGTTTCTGTGTATTTATATAAATTTTGAATTGAATTATGTTTACAATTTGTGAATATTACACTTTCCTATGTATTCTTTCCGAACCTATATATTTATAAAAAATAGATGATGATTAAATTTTATTTGATTATAATTTATTTTTTATAAATATAGGCTTGGAGGTAATAATATTATATTAAAATTTTATATTGATGATTGTGAATTCACAATTACTCTAACATGAATTTTTGAACTAATAAAAATAATTTTAATTGTTACAAAAATAAAAAATAAATGTTAATGTGTATGTGTGTGTGATAATCACATTACCATATTTTGTGATTTAATATAAAAAATAATTTTCAGTATACTACGAGGCTATGATAATTTGCAATAGAAAGCAGATTTGAAATATGATTATCAAAATCATACCGCTCATTTAAAAAGACTATGATGATATATGAGTAGAGAAGATTATTTAATTAGCAATTTTGCAAACATAATCATATCAATTAGACAATTAATGTTAGAAAGCAAAGGGACATTTGGCTCCCATGTACGCCCATTGTTAGTGATCTTTGTCTAAGTATGATGTTTTTACTTTTCAAAATGAGATTAAGGAAAAAAAAAACTAACACTATTATTATGGCCTTAATGTCCTCATTATGTGAGCCTGATAGCCCAAGAGCTAATATAAATTAATCAACTTGTGTTTTGCATTGAGGAAACACAATAATGACTAGAGATTGCTTGACACAGGCTTGGGAATGTCTTCCTATAGGGTATGAACTAGGATTTTCATTTATTTGATGGGTAGATTAGAAAGCATGTACATACATGTATTCTCATCACTTAAATAAGTGATTGAAAATTCAATTCTCAACCTTGTGTTTGTTACAATTTAGAGCACGTTTGGTTTTCTTTTATTTTATATTTAGAAAGTAAAATTTTACTTTTAAAAAATTAGAAGTTGTTTGGGTAAAATATTTTATAGAAAAGTATATCCTGAAAGTATATTCAAACAGTAGATGAAAATAAATTTCTGAAACATAACTACTTGAAACTTTTAAAAAGTAGATTTAAAAAGTAGGACGTTATTTGATCATACTATCCTAAGTTTAATCTCTTATTCTTTTATTTAAAAAATAGTTAATTCATTAAAAATACAATTATTATTTTAATAATAATAATAATTAGGTATTAATTTTTTAGCATTATAAATTGAATAATTAATCGTGTTAATTTTTAACATTAATATATAATAAAAATTAAAAATATTTATTACATTTTCTAAAATTATAAATTAAAAAATATAAATAACTAGAGATTAAATTTTTAATATTATAGATCAAATTTATATTATTTAAAATCTTTATTACATTTTTTAAATATTTTAAATATATTATATTTGTATAATAAAAATTATAAATCATCATAAATCAATATTTTTTTTGATAATTATACATTCAAAAATAGATTTCACCATTACAAACCAAACAACTTTCAATATATCAAATCAATTTTTTTAAAAAATATATTTAAACATAAATTTTTTACAACAGCCGACTTTCACTAAATTAATTTTTACTAAATGAATTTTTATCAAATAAATTTTTAACAAACTGAAAACCAAACACACACTTAGTTGTAAGAAGTTTATCATTTGCTTTTCATATGTTGGGAGAGATAATTTCTATTGTTGGCAAAATCTACTCTTTATACAGTGTATATATAAAAAAGAAAGCATATATATCTAAATATTGGCACTTGAATCAACTGGCTAATGATTGATTCAGCTTAACTGGATGGTGGAATGCATACACCATTCAAATAGGTGCTGACAATTGGCTGATCCGATGTGGCATAAATATTGAAAACTGAACGTGTAAATGAATTAAGAAAAATTCCAAAACTCGGAGGGACATAATCCCAACTAGTCCCCTGGCTCCTCTGTCATTGTCTTCAGGTCAAATGGTCTTTTTCATTCTCGTACAATAGTATATATATGTCTATTTTATGCCATCTTGAAAACTAGTTTTTTTGATAAGGATTAATTTAAATCCTCTAAAATTAAAACATATGAATTTCTTTGATATTTTCTTTTTTTTAAATATTTTTCTTATTTTATTAGTATTTTATAAAACATAAAATCTTATTTATTTTAGAAAAAATATAATAAAATCTTTTTAAATTATATAAATGACAACATAGTCCCTCAAAATATCATAATACATTGAAATTTTTAGGAACTTTTGTATTAATAAATGTTAAAGTGAAAAGATCATTATACCCTTATTTTAAAAAAAAAATGAACCGCAAATGTAACTTTTGTTTAAGAAATAATAATTTTTATTTGTGAATAAAAAATTGAATAAAAAATCACAATTTATCAAGTGTAATTTCAATCTCAAAATAATCAATAACAACTTTGCTTAAAAAATAATAACTTTTGTTCTATAAGTTGTAAGAGTTGAACAAGAAATCACAATTTATCAAGTATAATTTTTGTTATTGAGAAATAAGTTTTCAAAATAATAATCCTCAATCACAACTTTTGTTTAAAAAATAATAACTTTTATTCAAAGAATCGAAAGTATTGAACAAGAAATCACAACTTATCAATAAATGTAAAATGATCTTTCAATTTAAAATTTATTAATATAGAAGTCTCTAAAAATTTCAGTGAAATTATGATATTTAGAGAGACTAAATTATTATTTATATAATTTGAGAGAATTTTATTATTATTTTTCTTTATTTTTTTAAAAATAGCAAATTTACAAATTCTCGATTTAAGAGGATTCATTCCGACTAAGAATAAAGTGAGAGTGTGGGTAGAATATGAGGAGTCGAACCTCGTAATGTATTAAAAAGTGTGTACACTTGGTGCATACAGATTAAGAAAACAGAACCAAAAATTAGTAGGGAAACCTAACCCTGCACATAGGAGCTCATTAAACTTTTGAGATCAGACTTAGGGGCATGTTTGGAGTAGAATTAGGTAAAACAGAGTTTAAATAAAATTGAGTTATAAGCATGATTTTAGGTATAATTGATTTAATCAAAACACAAAAACATGTGGGAGCTGCTTATGAGAAAACTACATTTTGGACTTTCATAATTCATTTTTTGTGTTCATAATTGATTTAATTTAATCAAAATATGAGCACCGCTTGTATAACTCTTTAGAAAATTAACTTTTTAAAGATATTCATCATCCAAACACCACCATACCTGAAATGCAATACACTCGCATTAAATTTAGATCCCTTCTTATGGCTCTGTCACCTAAGAAAATATAATTATATATATATATATATATATATATATATGAGACAGAGACATCCATGTAATTAAAAGAGAGACATGTACTAATTACGAAGAGAAAAATATTGAAAAGGAACCGCGCATAAGCAGCAAAATCGATATTAGTGGCAGAAAGTAGGGACCTACTTGAGAAAATAAATTGGCGTTGTTGCCCACTACTGCAATTTTACATATTTAATTTATATAAACTCTTCTAAGCTTGACGACGAGGTTGCAATCTACAATATATATATACCTCCCAACTCTTTCATTTCTCAAAACCGGAGTCTTAGCTTCATCATCTTCTGTGTGTGTGTATCTTGTTCTTCTTCTTCTCCTGGTGCCATGTCCAGAATTCATCCAAGCCATAATCATCATCAAGGGCAGGATCAGTCCATGTCCAAAGAGAAGACTCATCCTTATGTTCTCACGGTGTGGAAGAGATCCACCATGACCTTCCAGGGCACCGACGGCTTCACCGTCTTCGATCACCATGGAAAGCTAGCTTTCCGAGTCGATAACTATTCCAGAAACAACTCCACCGCCATCCTCATGGACGGCGCCGGCAAGGCCTTGCTTACCCTCAAGCCTCAGGTATTACCATATCATATGGAATCTGAGGAACAAGGGCCTATTATTTATTTATAACTCATGAAAGATAAAGCCATTTGATATATATATATATAGAGAGAGAGAGAGACTTTCATATTGATATTAACAAATGATTATGTCTCATGTCTTATGTATGCATGTATGTATGTATGTGACAGATATTCAGCATGCAGTGGCATGCATACAGAGGAGAAGGATGTTGCAGAAGAAGAAAAAGCAGTGAGAGAGGCGAAAAGCCAAAAGCGTTGTTCAGCATGAGATCAAGTGGGTCAATGGTGTTTAATGGAGGATCAGGGGACGATGAAGAAGCTCAAGTGTTCATGGGACCAACATCATCATCATCATCATCAGGTTGCAAGGCTCATGATGACACACCGGATTTCAAGGTACAAGGATGTTTCAGGAGGAGAAACTGCGTGATCAGGAACAGCCAAGGAGAAATCGCTGCCAGGATTTCTAGGAAGAGAGTGAAGAACAAGACGGTTGTTCTTGGCGATGATGTTTTCAACCTCGTTGTTCAACCTGGATTTCAACCTCAACTCATGATGGCCTTTATCATTGTCTTGGATCGCATCCATAATAAGCACTACTATACTCCTCTCTTGTGTTCTTAACACACACACACACACACATCAATCTCATGTATAAGTACAACTTCCTACAAGAACAGGCATGGCTTATTACTTTGCTCTTAATCATGAGTGATTTAATGACTTCTGTTTCAGAGTCTTGACTCAAACTGTGTTTTTCACTCATCTGTACTGCTTAATGTATAACTCATTTAATTAACTGTGGATTATAAAAATAATTAGCATAACGCAGGTTCAAGTTCTGTTGTGAATATGATCTGTAAAATTTATGATTTTAAACCATAAGGCTTGTAATGACTAATTCTGAAGACTTCTGAAACCCCACAAATGTAGACTTTATCTCTTCACTGTGATGAGAAAAACTTGCAATCTATCTTTATTCTCCATGCATGTTTTGAAGGGGAATGGTTTGTATGAGATGAGAAATTCCTGCATATTTGCAAGCTGTTTAACAAAAACATGACATATCATGTGTTGTAAATATAAATTAATGATGATAGAGAGATAAAAGACAAAAAATTAAAAGAAATCCTATTCTACAAATAAAATCATTAGAAATAATGACACATGAGACTTTATTTGATTGAAATGATGCAATTTTATTGGATAATCTATAAATAATGTGGTGCACTGAGTCCATACAAGAATTTTTATGTATGAGAAATATACAGGTGGTTTCATTCAACAAGCACGAGAGATGTATATAATATGGGGTTATCAGGAATACAAGGAATGGAAGCAAAACTCAGAACATGGGTGGGGATTAGGCCTTAGACTTTTTCAACTCACATGCTAGGATTTTCACAAGTTGTTTAGAAACTTCTCTTTTTAATAAAAAGTTAAATCAATCCCTATGACAATGAATAAATTAGCAAGCTATGAGATCTGAATGAAGACAAACATGTAAGTGCTTCATGGAGATAGATATTGAAGAAAAAGTGTGACCTCATTACATTCCTACGAGATCTGCATGTATGTGTGTTTGTGTCGAGCAAGACTTGTTACAGGCAAATAACTTGCGATGTCTAATATTTCTAGTATCATTAGGATGAAAAGCCCTTTGCATTCAAATGGATCCAAGATAGTTGTGTAGGCGAAAAAAAAACCCCATGGGCCCATTTGTTTCCTAAAAAGTAATGGCATGGAATATATTAAAAAAACAAAAACAAATTAAATTATCTAATATTTTATGTAAACATGAAAAAAAAAAAACTCAACACCACATAGCCCAAACATGGAAATCACCATACCTATCCACAAACCTTAAGAATCATGACTCTCAATCTTACAAATTTAATTATATATCTCTTTGAATATAGTTGACTTATCTCTTCTTCACATATGGATCATCGTATTTTTATCTTAATTTTTTTAATAAATTTCATTTCATTCATTTCTCACAAGCAAATAGGTCCTATGACTTTCCTAACCTTAGGGCTTGTTTCATGGGAAAATGACAATAAAATTCCATTGAAGTATATAAATGACAATAAAGTCTTTCAAAATATCATAATTCTTTTAAAGTCTTAACGAACTTCTTTATTAATAAATTGTAAAATAAAAAGAACCTTTTACCTTTATAGAAAATAAAAGTTCCTAGGCTCTAGAACATATTTGCGTGCGCTCTTATTCTTGTCTTGATATCTTCCGCAACTTTTTTTTAGCTTCTAAAACTTTTCAAAGGATAGAAGTATAGGCTACCATTTAGCTAAAGTCTTCTGTTAGCTCACATTAGGGTAAATTTTTTCTGCTCTTATGTTGATTTTCTCCCATTTGTAAATTTTTGATCTCTCATTTGTAAAAGTTGAGCTTTCATGTTCATAATATTTAGAATAGTTGTTATTAGATAAAATGTAATAGATATTAGATAAAATGTAATAGATATGTGATCATGTGGTTTGAAAAATAGACATATTGATGAAAGGTGATTTCATTGTTGTAGGTTGGTATGAGAAATGACTTTTACTTCTGATTCTACTGAAGGTAAAATATAACATACATATTTTCAAACAATTTGTAAAAAAATATTGAAAGTAAAATATAATATGATGGGAGAGTGTGAGGGTCAAAATGGTAAGAAAGGGGATAACACTAGAAGAATTGAGAATAATAATATCATCTTGTTTTGGCATTGCTACTAATTTTAGTGACATAAAATATACTATGAGCTTTGATAAAAGGGTCCTTATAGACCTTATTGATGATGTTGGAATTACTACCCTATTTGAATATAATGTTTAAAGCAGTCATGTGTATATAGGTTGTAAAGGAAATGACAATAGATAATAAACAATTGAGGAAGTACAAGTGTTAGTTTCTATGTTAATGCATGTCCATCTTTATTGACACCCTATCCCTATCATGGGATAACCCTATAAAAATGTGAGCATCTTTTGCTTTAATTTCTTTTAACTTTCCTCTAATGTGAAATTGACGAGAAGGTGAATTGTGGTCATGGATTTATAATCTATAAAAATGAGTATGACCATCTAGATGGATAAGTATGATTATGACTGGGAACATGTCATTGCATGGATTTGTATAATCACAGATCAGTAGGAGTTCATTCGAGATAGTAAGGCATTATAAAAATCCATATGGTACTTACTCACTAGTATTGTGAGGTGTTGATTGTTTTGGTTCTTAATTATTGCCCTGGATTGGGTGGAGTGACACCTTATAAGTTTGAAATGAGGGAATTCACTGTTCAAGAGTGAGTGTGGGGTCATGATTGAGTCACCCTTTAAATTAAAGAATGGGGCTATTTCATTCACACGAGTTAGTCCTATATGATTTAATAGCCCTTGAGTTTAAACAGAAGTTATAAGAAGGGTTATAAGGCTGGATGCACGATCACGCATGGATATCATCATTGGTTTACATGTTTTTGTAGTCACGAATATATCATTGAAATATGTGTTGACTAATTATGGGATTTATAAATATGCATGTATGCCTAAATTGCTTTTATGTGCCATTCCTTCATGTACTTAGTTATTGAGATTGTAAAATATCATTCTTGTGGTTTAATATTTTCTAGGAGATACTCAGATTCAGGGCATTTTGACGTGAAGGCAAAGCTAGAGACATTTAGCTAATGATAATGTCTCTAGTTATTCTTAACGTGTAATTGAATATTTATTTCCAACATTATGAGTCATTTACATAGATTTTATTCTCACTTGCTTGTAGCCTATGATATTGATTTAGGCATTTTGACATGAAATGTTTTATGGCTTTAGAATTAAGTCAAGTGACGTATGGTTTATAGAATTTGTAAGGATTGTTAATTACCTCTAATTTGATTAGCCTCCTAGTTGATGGTAAGCCCTGAGAGGTGTAACTTGAATATTTATAGCTCATACATATGAGTTAAGTGTTATGCATGTGTATCTATATGTGATAAGTGGGTTTGGCTTGGTAGTTGATGGTAATGGCTGAGAGTTAGGGGTTTGGGACACTTGGTAGTTGTCATGAGTGTGGTCATATGCTTATTATCACAAGTGTTTAAAATTCTCTTATGATACTAGATTATTGTAAAACTAGAGCCATTAACTAGATTATTAAATTATCTTAGTGTGGATGCTTGGATCACCTGAATCGGAGGTTCGAGCAAAAAGTTAGAGGTATTAGAAGTCATGTCTTGATTACTATCATATTTGTTGTTGATGTGGCATGTTGGTCATGGTAAATTACCTTGCCGGCTAAAGTATATGACTCAAAGAGTATCAATTGCTTAGGATTGTGTAGTTAGCTGCAATGAATACCCTCTATGATGCAAGCTGTAATATCCATCTTAACTAATCACAATTAAAACCATAAACCATGATAATCAAGGGATTAACTCATAAAGAAATTACCAAGTTTAATTTAACAAAATGGGATCCTAAGTTTTTTATAAGTTAAAATGAGTCAAATCTAATCATTAACTCTTTAATTAGAGTAAAATTAAGTTATAAAAGTATAAGATACCTTGGACGAGTGAAAGGGGTGAGAAATCAGTTGAAAAATCTCACTTTGCTAAAAACAGAGTAATGTGTTACGACTTACGCTCTCTGCACTACAGCTTATTGCCATGTGCCGCAACATATTGCACACAAATGATAGCAATTATGCTATCATTTAATAGCAAAATTTTGATAACTTTTGACGTGTTCTATTTTTTTATCTAATGTCCGAATGACATGATCTAAGTGTTTATGGGAAGCTCTTTCATAAACTAGCTAATGAGACGGGTTTTATTGCCAAAACAAGTCACACTAGAAAGTTAGGCACCCAAACACAACTTTCACAATAACAAGTATGTTTACAACCCAAAATAAGTGTCAAAAGCCGTTTCTAACACCCGAACTATATTCATTGGACCTAGGACTACTTATATAACATACCACAAGCACACATACACCAGTATATCACAACTTCACTTCTCAACCCTTTTAATATGAAAAATAGAAGGGAGAGGTAATAACATTGCATTGCATGAAAAATCAATCACATCATGCTTAAAACAACTATACTACACTTGTTCTAGTATTTTAACCCTATCAACTTTACAACTTAACATAAACAACATTTCAGGGCTTAAAATACTATCTAGACAACAATGTAGTGCAAGTGAAAACCAAATGCATTTTAAATTGAGAATATTAATCTATTATACAAAATAAATGAATCTTAGAGGCATTACTCTAGGAATACCTAAATTCCTAAGTCATTGGAGCTTTTTTTCTTTTTGCACCAGAGTTAGAGTCCATAAAATATTAAAGAAAAAGGGTAAGTTTAACCACTTAGTAACTAAGATAAACTTACCATTTGCAGTTGTATATCAATTGAAATAAAACACATAGGTATAAAATAGATTTTCTTAAAAACATGCATTAACACATAACTCATAACTTATCATTTCTTAGTTAACTCATTTTTCATTTCATCGCGAAATATATTGTCACAGGACACTCAGGCATGTGATCATTACCCACTATATTAACACAACTTACCACAACTCAATTATATGACATGTGATATATTCACATAGGCATGATTATATCATCTTTATACCTTCCTTATTTCTTTCGATTGAAACTGTGGACTATAACATCGTATAGGGCTTTGTCCATGTGACTGGATTGCTCAAGCTCACCAATTGTGAGGTGTGACCTAGTCAAAGATCACAGTACTCACTCTCAGACTACTGTTTTCCCTATTCTCAAATGTCTGGGATGTCACATACCTTAAGCTAATCTCCTTAATAAACTGGTGGAGATAGCTAGGTTCTAGTTCGTCAACAAACTATGAAATAGTTCCTCGATAAACTATGAGACAAAGCTATACCCTCATGTATCGAAAGTAATCAAAAATACGATATTAATTTTATCTACTCTTGTCCCTAGATGAACTCTGGCCAACTGATGATGCCATGAAATATGCCCACTCATTTTTCTCAATATCATTTTCAAAATCAACACATTGAGCTCACAACTATGCATTATCTAAGTAAGCATCAAACTCATTTTCACATTTATCACATGCATCTATCATTTCCAATTTCAACAATTATCAACTACTTATTTCATCATCATAATGAAACTTTAAAACTCTTTCCACAATCACTTTGCATCTTTTGTTCAAATCAAGGTAATCATATGAATCCATGAATTTAATGACATGCTTACACATATTCATAAATCACAATTTCACATGCTAAATACATATTTACATTACATTACAATTAATAAACAATTACCTAAAGTAGGCTTTCCTTGATTACCTCAAACTTTTAAGAGATCAAAGGTTTATCTCTCATTATTTTAGCCTCTAAACTTGATTTCCTAAGCCACAATGGTGCTCCAAATCTCAATCTACAATTAGCCAATTCTAAACTTCATTAATAATACCAAACACATAATTTCCACTCTTATTTTTTACTTCATCAACACCCAACATCCTTAATTTTCACGTTTAGGTTTACCCATTAGGTTTATTAACTTTCTTTTGTTCCTAATAATACTAATAAGCCATTAAACCTCTATTAATGGCATTGCAAATTTTCTAACAACCCTCATAATTGTTGTTTTCAAATATTAATGATATCTACCAACCAAGGATATCAAAACTCAGTATTTTTAAGTTTAAATACTCCAATCTTATTATCTCTATTTAAGTCAATAGATTTAAACCCATATCTCATATAGACTGAAAATCATCTCTCATTATCAAATCCTAACCAAAAACTTCATAACAATGGAAGGGATAGGGAGGAATGGAGTATATGATATTTACCTTAAGTGTTTCTAGCTTCAAAATGTCCCCAATACTCCCTAATGTGAACCTTAGTAGAGCTTGGTTGCTTGTTCTTAATTTCTCCCTTTTTCTCCTTTAAATTTTCTGTCTATTCGCGACTTAAACTATAGAAAATAGGTTGTGCACTGTAGCACTTGGCACAAAAAGGCCTTCTGCCTTGAATTATTGTCTGTGTGCCATGACGAACATGCTGCGGCATATGGCACAGAGACATCCCTCACATTTTTCTCTTCCTTTCGATGCCAGAGTAGCCCGACTTCACTTCAAACCCATACTTAAGGCTAAAAATATAACTAAATACATTCATTAGATCTCTCTAGCTATGCACACATCAAATCACTCAATTTTCCTAATTAAACTTGATCAATTTCTTTAGAAATCTAGGGATTAAAACTTGGGATATTACACAAACCGTTGGGGTGTTCTCTACACCATGAGCCATAACAAATTGCAATCTTAGTCATGACAAATGATCCTGTTTTGCTAAAAAAACTCTATAACCCTATTCCAATTTGTTTCAATGCTCAAATGCTTTCCCTTGCTTTCGCAACAAATTATACTTTGATTTTGAAGTATTTTAAGGATCTTTTATAAATGTATTCAAATCTAAACTATTTATTTTGGGATCTCATTTACGTTAAAATATTCTTAATTAATCATTGGAGTTTTTAAATAGCCAAGATTGATCCTATCTTCTTTTGGTATCTTCTTAAGTTGATTTATTGGCTTTAAGGATTGTGGTTATATGTGATTAATGTCAAAGGACATTACAACATTTCATATTAGACATCACCAATAACATTCTCTTGTTGGGTAAGGAACCAAAAACTTTATGATCTATTTTTGCTTCTGTGCTACGAACTTTGCATTTTGAATGCTCGCTCAAGTTAGCGAGGGGTATGCTAGATAGAGATTATGTAATAGCATCTTTTGATGAGAGATATGAACATTAGACTTTGCAAAAACTAGTATTTTTTGAATCATATGAAACCAAAAAGCAAGCAACGAATGACAAATCAATGGATATTTGTACCCAAGTATGACAAAAGTAAGAATATTTGATGGAAGAACATAGGATCCTTTTGAATAGCCTCTTATAACTTACAGTAGGAAGGCCTTGTGTCTTGAAATTAATTCATCAAGTTATGATAAAATACTCACAAGTCCTTATTGTGTGTGATAATGTTCTATCTCATATGATGTCATTAAGCAAAATGAATTTATGCATTACCATTTGTTACAAAGTTAGATTGTTAATCTTCAAGTCTTGTAGTGATGAATTTAGAGTATATTGAATTTTCGAATGGATATGAATCCTTCAGAGAATAGGTGGCCATTTCGAATGCATAGAAGACAATTTCAAATTGCTCTTTCATTTATAATGACTATTAATAAAAGTCAAGTGCAATGACTATTAATAAAAGTCAAGGACAATCATTATATCATGTTGGATTATACCTTTCTAAGCTAGTGTTTACACTTAACCAACTCTATGTTGTACTTTCATGCTTAAGGACTATGGAAGGGTTGAAGATTCTATTGTATAACAATAGGGATAATATGAAATCAATAACTTCCAATGTTGTTTATCAAGAGATTTTTCATAATTTGAAAGTATCAAATATTAAATGCCAATGATTTACGTAGAAGGTAAAAGTGTTATACTATTTTTAAACCTATGAATTATATCAATTGAAATTTTTTCACAATAGTTTTATATAATTTAAAAAGTTTCGTGTTCTTTTAGGTTTTGCTTCCTTGAATAGTACTTCCTCATTTCATTTCTTTGATGTAGTCATGCATTTGCATGATAATCATGATAATTGTGATGCTTTCTTTTAAACTTTTTGTTTGTTGTGAAGTAATGAACAGTTTTAATGTTGTTTGGACAAGTAACATTGTTGTGATGAAAAAATAATATATAGTTGAAGTAATTGTTATCCGTGCAATGTATGGAGAGTAAATGCTGGTTCTTTTTTTCAAAAAAAAAAGTTAATAATGTATAAATTTTTAAATATTAACCATCCCCATTATATGGTGGTGGAGTTTAAATACGGGTTGAAATTTAATTTCATTATTTATATAAAAATATTTTTTAAAAAATGTTACAAATGATATTCTTAATGTGTAACAAGTAATCTTCAAATTTATAACCATTGGTATTTCAATTTTTTTGTATTTTAAAATTTAATTTTATTTGATTTTATTTAAGTTAATATAAATTTTAATTTAATCTAAAATTAATTTAATATAATTTAATAAATATCAATGTAAAATATAAAATATCTAATATTTTTATTTTTCTATAATTATTATATTTGTTTATTTACAAAAGATGAATTATTTTTTAACCAAAATTTGTATTTTATTACTAGTAAATATTTAATATATTTATATTTGATATAAAAATTTGAATAACAAATGTGTAAAATAGTAATTATTTTATTATTTGATAATTTTTATATATTTTTAATTATTACCTTTACTATCCATGTATATTTGTGTTAATATAAGGTAAGACAATGTGTTAATATATAGTCCTCCCTCCACTTAAAAATATAAAATATTTTTAATCGAATCTTACCCTCTAATAAAGTAATTACTTATATTTAAATTATATTTAAATTAACTATATTTTTTTATATTTACCGTTATTTAATAAGTGTTTTCCCCTAAATAAATTTAAAGTAATATATTCAATAAGAGTACTTTTAAAAAAGTAACAATTATATCTTAAAAGATTTAAAATACTTTACATTTTTTAAATATTTAATCTCTCAAAAAATATATTACATTTTTAAATAAAAAAAGTAGTTTTTATAAACTTTATTTTCATTTTTTTTTAGACAAATCAACTTTATTTTCTTAATCAATTTCATTTATCTCCTACTATTTAACATGGTGCAAGGTCAAGATTCCTTTTAATCATTTGAAAGAATTGAACAAAAAAATGAATATAAGGAAATTAGAAAAAAAAAATTGAGAATTAAAAAAATTAAAAAATATATTTAATATGGAAGGGGTATAAATTTATAAAAGAAATTTTAATAATTAATTTTTGGCTCATACGAAATTCTTCCGGAAATTAATTGTAAACCCCGATAAAACCCTTGTTCGTGAGCAGCGGATCCAGTTCTCTTGGTCGACGAGCAAGCTTCCCATACTCCGTCGGACGCCGTCCACCGTTGTTCTGCGTGGTTGTTCTCGGGCAAGCAGTGAAGAAGGTTCGAACCCTAGGGCTTTTTCTACTCCCAAAATCCGGTGAGATTGATTTGTTCATTCTGGTGTTTGGAATCTAGATTTGAATTTTTCCGCGCGTCATCTGTTCCCGCTGTTCCTGCTTTGTTTTAAACTTTTCATTTTAATTTGGCTTTGAATCTGGTCGTGTAATCGTTGAATATTGACGCCTGTAGATTTGGGATTTTTTTTTTTTGGGGTGCTAGTTTTTGCTTGAATGGTCTAATTGGCTATTATACTTCTTCCCTCTTCATTTTTATTACTTGCGACTTGTATGATTTGGATATTGTTTTTCTTTTCTTTTGCAATGTTGGACTTGTTGTGTCTTGGCATTCTGTTTATTAATCTTTCTACTATTATCAAATTTGGAAATTCTCAAAGGTACTTGTGATGTATGATCTTGTAAATGGCTTGGCTCGAGTTGTGTCAAAGTATCCGAATCAAAATTTAAAAGGACATGATATCAACTATGCACATTTCAAAGATTTCAGTGGGGGCATGGTATAGGTCCGCCTATGATGGCTTGTAACATTGAATTGTTTCTGTAATGAAAATGAAAGGTGATTCAGAGCTTGGAAATTTAACATTGTTTTAGATGTCAAACATACATGTCCAATGCAGTCAAATTTATCCTGCAAGTGATTTTTGTAGTAGAAACATTAATATCTGGCCCTTTTAAAACTTGTTTATGGCCATTGATTCCATTCATTGAACTTTATATTTGTCTATCCTTCAATTCTTCAAGGTAAAAAGAATTCATGTAGGGCTTTTGATTTGAATCAGAGTTTTGGGTTCTTGGTACTGAATGAATGAATGCATATGGATATATGGAAGACTTTTTGCAGCAATGGTATTGTTCAATCACTGAAAGAAGCAGGCTTTGATTTGAATTAAAGGGTTAAATAAATTTCATTGGCTCTCATCTAAAAGCATCCGAATACTGGTCGATTTTAATGAAGATGATTGATCAGAGTCATCAAATATTCATCATGCTTTCAAACGAGGTGGACCAGACATGAATTTTGAAGTATGTGTACGTGGAAGAGGGACTTCTATATTTCCCGCCTGGTGGGAAAATCAATGTTCCATGTAATTTCTTGACAATTTTATCATCTGTGGACGTTGTATAGGCTGTTATGCTAGTAACTAACAATTTTGATTAGTAAGATTATAAGTAAGGGCGTGACAATTTTTAGCTGATTTTCAATGCTCCATAATGATACTCTCCTCTTCCTCATGAAAAATATTTGGGTAGACTGTTGATGTGTTATGAGCATCTGCGCTTGTTTGAATCATCATGTATGATTGTTATTTTCCATGTCTCGTGGTATACTACATGATCTTGTGCCTTCTCAAATTTTAGTCAAGGAATGTGATTTTGAACTTTGACAGGGTGCAAAGCAAATAAAATGTCCAAAAGAGCAATTTTCCCCTGCATTTTGGCTCCATGAGTCACATTCTTGATTGAACAACAACATGAGGTTTACTGTAATTTCTAGATTACTTCCTCGTCGCCACACTCTGCCCAGTACATGTGCACTCGGGAACTCTCGTGCATTCCAGCCTGATTTTGTACCCAGAGATCCAAAGGCCAAGCCAAGAAAGTACAAAATTCCTCAGTTTTATGATCCTTATGGTCCCAGACCTCCTCCTTCAGAGAAAGTTGTTCAACTTGCAGAGCGAATTGCGGCACTACCTGATGAAGAACGCAGCCAAATCATGCCTACTCTGGCAGAGAGACTAAGGCTTCCAAAGTTGCAGCCAATTTCAACTGAAGGCATGGACTTGGCCCCACAGGGTGGCGCGGCTGGACCGAAGGCTGAGGAGAAAAAGGCAGAGAAAACAGCATTTGATGTCAAGTTGGAAAAATTTGATGCTGCTGCAAAGATCAAGGTGATTAAGGAGGTCAGGGCATTTACCAGCCTGGGTTTGAAAGAGGCCAAAGATCTAGTTGAAAAAGTACCAGTTGTGCTCAAACAAGGGGTCACTAAAGAAGAAGCAAATGACATGATAGAAAAAATTAAAGCTGCTGGAGGAGTAGCAGTTATGGAGTAAAAGTATTGTTGGAGGCAAAAACTATATTCTGTACGTTGAGGCAAATAAATTACAATTTGATATTGTCTTGAGAAGTTTCCTGTAGTCAGATATTGTGAGAGCTTACTGTTCGTATTTTTGACAGTTAAAATTGCAGTTTGTCCTGGGGGCCATCAGGTCAACCTTTTTAAACGGTTCTATGATGAACTCAAAAAACGATTTCAGCCGGTTACCAGTTGATGTATTCTTTCACTCCTTGCCATGATTCTCGTGCGCATAACTACTCCATGATAATTGTTTGATCGTCTATTTGTTAAATTTATTTTTTAAAAAGTTTTATATGCTCATGTTATCTATAAGAAATCAAACTGAGATTAAGCCCTTGAGCATCATAATATTTCTCTTTTCCCTTGTAGGGAAATGGGAAAAGAAAAGGTGTTGGGGTGGTGAGGGTGGTTTAATTCATGTGTTTTATTGCCAATTTATGTTCAGCTTACTTATTTTTCTTTTAGGCTATGTTTGGTAGGTTTGAATCTGAAATATAGAAACAGAAACAGAAACAGAATCCATGTCAAAACATGTTTGGTATGATATAATCATGATTCTTTAGAATCATGATTCTAACAAATTTCTCAGAATTCGATTCCATCTCAAAAGCTATGAATCCGATTCTGTGTAACTTTCCATCTTCTCTCTCTTCCATCTCTCCATCTTACCCTTGCCTCCCTTCCTCTTCTTCTTCTTCATGGACTTGATGGTGCTGGAGACATTAACGGTTGGCTTGCAACAAGTGAGAGAGGAGCACCCGCAGGAGGAATTGTCGGCATATGTGTGGGAGGAGATTTGGCTGGAAGTGTGTCGGTGCTGGTGCTGCAACAGGTGATGACGCTAGAGGTATGAATAATGATAGATTTTATAGATCTGAACAGCAGGGGCAGTGAACTTCTCCATCATTCTGGTGTGACGGCGAGAAGGGGGTCATGAGTGTTTTTTTTTAGTGTACCGTGAGCTTTGGGGGAGCTGGAGGCAATAAATATGAAGGGTATTTTAGACTTTTAATAAGACAAATATATTTTTTAAATAAAATTATATCAAGATTCTATCATCATACCAAACATACTTTTATAATACAATTCTATTTTAATTCCAATTCTGATTTCAATTCTAATTTCAATTCCATCAAAAACTCTTCCACAATACCAAACGAGGCCTTAGACGTCTTCCTAAAACTGCTACTGTGAAGATGTGCTTTATCATTTATTTGTAGGGCTATTAGAGCACACCAAGGTTAAATATTGAATTTTGCTCTCATTTTAATTTCCTATGCTGTTAATTCTTATTATTTTCTGAATTATCTCCTGCGAGGTATTGAAAAATTGTCAAATTTATAAATAAAATAACTCCGAAAATTTAATATAACAAGATTTTAAGGGCAGAGGTTAAATCGACTATTAAGTTAAATACGGCGCTATCAAAATTTAACGAGATCTCCAATATTTGAGCTCCCGAGAATTTTAGTTTGCCAAAAAACCCACATTTGTATTCATTTACAATAGAAGATTCATTCAAAAGAATCTTTTAATTGTTTAAATACCAAATCAAACTTTAAAGCTATAACAATTTAGTTACAAATGCTCAAATTATAAACAGTTGAACACAATAAGCAATTAAGCACCTTATCAATATAATGTATAATGAAATATGTAACCAACCATACAAATCACAGATCATAAATAATTAAGGGCAAATAATTTCTTGGACTACATCCAACATTGCAAAAACCATGTCTACTTTTATGCCAAATCTTCTATGTTGAGCTGAATATCTGAGATCTGTGTATGTTCACAAGCATCAACCTTGATGGCCCAAAAGGAGCATTATGATTCTTACAAAAATAATAAAATAAATGAGTAAGCGGGGGAAATCAAGAGTATCTAGAATCTGATCGAAATTACCTAATGTTCTCCAATCACAGTAATACAATAATCACATCATAGCCTAAAACAAAAGTAATAGCAATAACATTATAGCCAAAAAGCAAAAGAAACAGCAACCTCAAGGTCCTGACTTGTAAAGACAAACATAATCTTTTGCGCATAACCAATTGTAATTTAATATGGTTAAGAGGGAGAGGGGCGAAAAAAAGAGAGAACAACCAGAACGTGCATCCTTCACAGCAGGTAAAGAACGATACATGAATCAGTCTCCAGACACGTATGTCTTATCCTCGTAGTATCTTTTCTCACTCTCTCCCTTCTTCTCATTGCGTTTCTGTATGCATAATGGAAAACAATAATGGCATCATTGACAATAATAAGCAAATAGGATGAAACTTGTAAGCACATGACATGAGGAAATAATACATCATAAAAACATGATATATGATTTTTTTTTTTTTTAACTATGATGATCACATCCTATGAGGTGAACAAGGGACAATGAGAAAATGAACGAACTGATAATCACTGGGATTCCAAACACGCACAAGCGTGCACGCATGCACAAAGATCCGATTTGTATCATGAATAGTAAGAAAAATGAGCATTATCACAAGGAAAATTTTGATTTAGAGGAAGAGGCAAAAATTAGAATAAAAACATTATCTGATAAGTCAATCACAAATATACGAAACACCCAAGAGAAAATATGGAAAATTACAGTCATCACTACAAAAGTGCACCTAAACATCTTCATTGACGTTTTTAAATATAAGACACAGCAAATTATTAAGTTCTTGCATTATCTGGACACATCCTAAAATAGTTTATGCATGTTTGTTGTCCGAAGCACCAAAATTGAGTAGGTAAGAATGGAAATGGCTCTTCCTTTTTCTGTTCAATCAATTGCATGAAGTGTTCTACTACCATTTTGTATAACTGGGCTATTCTATTAGTACAAATATGATGGAAGGATGACCAACGGGGATTAAATCTAACGGAAGGTGAGAAAGATATCCATATTTAGTACTCAACTGTGTTTCAAACAGGATTTGCTTTAATAAGAAGACACTTGTGAGTAATCAGAAGAAACATAAGATGGAAGGATGCATTAAATCCTTCCTTCTTAGTAATTCTAAAGTCGTCTCTTTATCATGGAAGGATGCATTAAATCCTTCCTTCTTAGTAATTCTAAAGTCGTCTCTTTATCATGGTGGTAAAACAGCTTAGTAGCTTGCAACGCCCATAGCTTTAAGGTCTCACGTTCAAATCCCGTCTCTGCAAAAATTCAATTTGAGAAAAAGCACACCCAAAAAAGGCAGCAATGGTATCACATGCACAAACAGATGCATACCATGAGCAGCACCTAAATAACAGAATAACATAAAAAACATACATGAATGCAAGACGTGTGGAAAAAGAAAATTACCTGGTATGCCTCATGATTTGATACAATCCTTCTAATTATTGTAGTTGTTGTGACATCTAGAGGACTTTCTAAGATTTGGAAGATGCCCATGCTGATGGGAACAGCATATGGATTGCTATTTTCCTGTATATAAACCAATCTCAGTTGACACCTGAATAGTATAATTTTATACAAAACACAAGGCACTTGTTGCCTTCTGTTGGCACCTGGGCTAGAAATCTAGAAGGATCGGAGGCTGATTTGGTTAAATAATTAAGGTTGACCAAATCTGCAAAAGAATCCAGATCTGGCATGAATAATTACTGACCCAAATCTTCTTTTAATCCTCAGATTTCTTGCAACAGATTAGTTAATCTTTTTCTCCTGTTTCATTTTCTTACCTTTTTCATTTATACTTGTTAGGCTTTTATTACCCAAATTATTGTGTTTTATTTTCCTGTTTCTTCCCTTATCTGGAGCCTGGCCTCCGTGCTATCTTCTTGCTCTGGTAACTACTTATTTTTCAGTTCTTGCCCTCTGTAATTCAGATTATTCACGATAAAATAAGAGTATTCTTCCATGAAACCTTCACCTTCACCAGTAACTAGTAGTGATAGCTGCATATAATTCAGAATTTGGCATAAATTATGCAAACTTGCCTTCTGAAAATCATTATTTTCTGCTACAGTTCCATGGACAACTAATGAGATGTTAAATGTTGTGATCTGCACTCAACAGAAATTCAACTATCAGTACATCACAATAATCAATGCAAGAGTAATTATTACTAAACTAATTTTAAAATTATTATAAACAGAAAAGCATTAACACTTCATATTGACCTAGAGATCTCTTCAAACATCTTATAGCTAAATAGTAGCCACATCTTTGCTACAGAACCTAGCAAGACTTGACAACTCTACTAAGAACTTGTGCGTCGTTTGGTATAATGAAATGATTTTAATGGAAATGAAAATAAATATGGAGGTGGAGGTGGATATGGATATTGGTTTAAAAACTTGCTTGGTATGTTTATGGAATCATAGCATAATTTTCATTCAAAAGACTAAAATACCCTCTCTGAAAAATAATACTAGTAAAACCATAATTTTCATTCAGGAATGAAATTCTTGGGCTATTTTAAAATTCCTTCCCTGAGAATGAAGCTTCCTTGCCACAGATCCTAGAAATGAACCGTTCAAAACCATTTTATGTATTACTTTTATCTTATTCTTCATAAATATTTTATCTTCTTAAAAAAAACTGTCCACTGTCCTATGCCATTTTTCCCTTTACCCAAATCAATTCCTTTTACCAGATATGGCCATGGACTTCCGCAAGGGGGGTGAAGATGCTTATAATGATGATCATAGCTTCTCACCCACTGCCTAGAGACAAGATTGAAGCGAGATGTTTTGGTCTTTCTTGGAGGAGAGGAGGTAGAAGAAGCACTTGATTCAGGCAAGAGCAAAGTGGTCACCACCGATGAAGGTGGTGGAAGGCATGTTGGAGGCTGACACCGTCACCGTCTCCGTCACTAAATTGGACAGGATCTCCATGGTGGACTCCATCAGAGACTAAAGAAGAGGACGCGGCTGCCATTTGAGAAGTTGAAGAAGATGGGGAGGGAGGGATAAAAATAAAAAGTGATCATGGAATTACAAAACTGAGGCTATATTATAGAACCCAATTCCATGATTTTTGCTGGAATTGGAATTGGAAAATATTTCAATTCAACCATACTAAACAAACACTTTCCCAAATTCCATTTTCATATCTATATCCATCCTTCCCGTTTCCATCATACCAAACGTGACCTAAGAAGACATGATTTTGCAGCTATCCTGACAATAATCGAAACATATCTATTGAAAAACATGCATAAAATAAGCTAATCCTCATGCTAGTTTCATGTCAAGAAAAGGGATAGCTTATGAAAGAATGGAAGGATTCTAGTTCCCTTGGGCCTCCCTCCCACACTTCCTCTCCTCTAGCATTAAAATAACCTAAACAATGGCTCAACTCAAAACATGGAAAAGGGAAAAATGTGATGTACTAATTGTCACAGTTTAAAGTTCAACATTTATAAATAAATTCATAGTACAGAGACATCAATTCGATTATTCCCTCCATTAAATGATCATTGATCAAAACAAATAAACAATATTATCTACATTAACAAATAAACATTCCACAAAGGTTGAACTATTGAGTTTGAGAACCAACCATATCCTTCGACACCTCCCATGGTGCTCCAATTATAACCTCATCCACATAGCGGCATGCTAAAACGCTTAGACTTCTCTCATGAAGATTCATAATAGGACGATGCGCTCCTCTAGTTGCACTATAAAGCCATTAGAAAAATATGTCAAAATTGTCATATACTAACAACCTTAAGCAAAAAGGAAACATGTACAATGATAGCTACTTTCTTATACTAATTACTATATACTACCCTCCAGTCCTTTTTATTAGTCACATTCTAGAAAGTTTTCTTAGTCCTTTATATAATTCACTTTCTCTTGTTTTTGTAACCTTTGATGAACAATTCCAAAACTACCCTCCAGCTAATTCTAAAAAGTGCAACATTTCTATTTTCAAGAAAACTCTTTCCACATATCAAATCATTCTTTTTTAAATTTAGTGGAAAAATTAGAAAGTGATTTATTTTTAAGAAAACTTTATTATTTTTACTAATTCACCTTGGTTTTGGCAAGTTAGTTAGAAGTAACTTATCAAAAAGACTAAAAGGAGTACATATTTTGAGGGGCAAGAAACTGCTTTAAAGAAACAGTCATGAGATAAGTCACCAAGGAAAAGGACTGGAATGTTTTGTATGCCAGATTGCCAACTATTCAGGGGAGAAAAATATGGATGACCTAATGGCAAAATGTAGTCCCCACTGTCTACTACTTATCTTTTGCTGAAAAGGAAAGAACTTTTTTTTCAAAAAAGAGATGTACCACTATGAAAAGCACCAATAGCTAAAATAGCAGCGCTTAGGCCTAATCCCAATGCCCTTACTCAAGGACCAATACCAGAAAAGAGATGAATGGATGCGTGAACAAGAATAGCTTTCTCTTGTGACCATGAGTGAGTTCCAATTATTTTTCTTTGCCTCACTGCTAACCAAGAGCAGTTGACAGGAGACAGAGTCTTGACTTTATGTTGTTGGATAAGCAGACATTGATGCAGTGTTTTTGGAAACATATTCCCCAGAAAATAAGATTCAATCTCAACTCAACATCAGACCAAGGAAATCCTCCATTATCTTCTTCAGCGTATGGAACATACCCACTGATAAGAAAGAGATGACAAACGGCAAATACCGGACACAAGAAGCAGAAATACAGCATTTCCAAAGAAAAAAAGACTTCCTTCTACTATGAATGCAACCTCTTAGAATCTTTTAAACAGGAGGGTCCCAAAAAAGAAGTATCCCTATGTTACTACCTAAAGGAACTCCTAAATTATAGAGGCCGCTGAAGAGTCTCACAGATAGCCAGGAAACAGAGAATATCAAAGAATATCTATCCAAATCAAAACCCGCTAAGCTGCTTGTGAATAAATTAATCTTGAAGAACAAGAATAGCATTATTATATCACTCATGATGTTTCATCATCCAATGAAAGAGGAGCATCATCAACAAATTGCAGGTGAGAAAGTAACACCTCTGAACTAACAAGAATATCCTTAGTTAGAGGTCAAAATTCCTTTCAACAGCCTAAACATCATCCAACTAGCTGCACCCATGAATATCTTAACCGATTATTTGTCAAAATTAAAAGAAAGCGTGCATGGTGACATGATGCACGCTGACAAGAACTAGAAAGGAACGTGCCTTTCATCTGATATCCTTGATGTTTAATAACCAAGGATGTGCCATACAATAGGGTAGGATCCTATTTATGATTCTTTAACATATATAGAGGTTTTACTCTATAATTTTAGAAGATGGTAATACAACTTAAAAAAGGCTAGACTTTGTGCCTTGGGTGACTGCCTTCTGTGTGAGAATTTCTAGAATGGAAGATTAGTCACATAAAAAACGGTAGCAAGAGAAAGATGTAAGCTGCTTGAGTAAAAAATAATAACATAAGAAGCACAATATAAATCAATTCGTGGTGGGGAAAAAGAGAGAGAGATTAAATAACCCGACAGTCTGATCAGTGTGAATTCCAACAAGAAGAAAGTCTCCAAGCTTCCGTGCTAGCCTCAAGATCTGTACAACATGAAAGCCATTGATCAAAAGGTATAATGTCTTTGCACCCCTGCTAGATCAGAATCTCAGGTCCACATATAAAAGTAATTATACCATCAACAGGGAGAATTGTTGTAGGAATCAACTCTAATAAGGGATAATAAGTAAAAGGCATAGATGAAAGATAAATCTCCAGTTGAAGAGTTTCCCATAAATCATTTCTGCAATGAAAATGTCCAAATGCAAATAATTGACCTAAAACCTAAAGTTCGACCTGAACATGAAACCTCCCTTCAGCCAGTAGCCCACATTTTCAATCAACCTCAACCTGATTTAGGGTAACAGATCTTGCAGTGGTCACTATACCCCACCTTGTTAATTTTACCTTTTCATAACTAAAAAAAAAATATATTAACTACAATGCCTTATTATATAATTCAATATATTGAACTTCAAGGTGCTAAGAAATTAGCACTGCTAACACAGTATTCTCATCACTATTAAGTCCAGCAACATGCCAAATAACCATATTCAACAAAGTAAAGAGAGCACTTGAGTAGCAAAATAGTGCAAGACTGCATGCATAGGAGCACACCTCCACATGTCCAGCATGGAAGAGATCAAAAGCACCATCCATATAAACTATGCGAGCATCAGGACCTGGACCCTGGAACAAGAAACACGAGTAAAATAAGTTGGGGGCAAGTGACATGCCCTGTTTATTAGCATGCACATTTCTTATCACATTAATTAAATAAAGGAACGTACAGCATGCTGTTTTCTCTTCTCCCCAATAAAAGAATGTTATATTTTAATTTAGAAAGAAAGGAAGAGAGGGAATGAGAGGTGGGAGGAACAGGACATTGTTCAAAAAGAGCCAAATGCTAAGAAACAAAGGAAATTCATGAAAACCTTAAGTTAGATTATGTACATAAACATACCCTTCCATTTGAGAACTGGACAATTCTCCGAGATGTGGGAAGAAAATGAGATATACGAGTTGCACTTGCAGATACACCATCTTCTACCTTGTGGCTATGACCATGGCTGAACTGTCTTTGTAAAGAAGAATGACTATGACTATCACTAACAGACCTTTCTCTTACACAGAGAAGCATTCGACCTGGGCATAAAATTGTTGAATTACTACTAAAGAAGTATCAATGTGAATACCAAGAACAATAACCGAACAAAAGTTTTGACTGGAGAAAAGTCAAATACTCACAACAAAAACATTAAGAAACAATCAAAGAGATGTCGTCACAACTAGCAAACATTAAATCAAACCACATGCAAGACCAGCAAGAAATAAATAATGAGGTGTGTCAGAGGCTTCAGTTTAATTGCCAAGTTTGGGTAGAAAAAACCACAAGTTCAATGCAAAAGATATATTCAAAGAGGTGATAAGCTGAGAGTTCTTTACTCCTTTAGAAATTTCATCTTTTGCTAAAATTGGAAATTTAACATTCTAGACTACCAACAGATAAGAAAATCCAAGAAATGCTATCAAATGCTCTAAATTGGATTACAAAAGGAGCAAAGAGACGGCTGAGTTATTTTCTTTCCCTCATTAAATCTAGTGTTCACACTAAAATGATAATTTTTGTCAGCTAAATTATCAGCTATTGAAGATGAAGCAGTATTATTATGGAAATTGCATATATATTTTACGGCCATTGGGGCCACTTATTGTGGTTACTTATTTCACTATTTTATGATAACCAGTACTTTTCTCATCTTAAAGCAGTAACTCTTGTACTCCATAGATCAGAAATTCCAAAAGGCCATCAATGCATAATATTAAGATATCAGGTTTACCTCACTGACATGGGTTTTTAATTCCTTAGTTTTTTTGAGCAATTTGTCTTTTCAATTCTATCCTTTTATTTTCATGACATGCCTATCTATGGTTCAACTTCACCACGATTCTTCAGTTGGAATGCTGATGGAGTTGATTCTCTCTCCACACAAAATTTCAGTGTCATGCACAGACTAAAGAATGAAGCGTGATTCTTAAATTACAACCACATACTGATTGCATAGCCTCCAAATTATATAAATGGTATTTCAATTATATAAAATCATAGGCAACAAATAACCATAATTCTTACCAACAATATCTGTGCTTGAGACTCCTTCTGTGCGCTTTATTTGTTTATATCGGCCAGCCTTTTTAGCAAGGATGTATGCATCAGTTCCATCAGGCAGAACACAAGGATCATCTCCATGGATAATGTAATCGATATTGTATTCATCAAAAAGCTTTTTCATGAATTCTTCAGTTATAGCATAAGGTGCATCAGGAATAACCTCGTCAACCCATTTAACAGCCTTAACCATAAGCAACCTATGACAAAGTACATATCTTTACCAGTTAGGAAACTATTGGTAAAATATACAAATTTTCAACAAAAAATGAAGTTAATTGTTCCAAATAAACGCAGATTCAGAATAAGAAGTAAGGCATCAAACATAAAAGATTTCTTTCCAGAAATGCCGGAATCCCCACAAACATGGCAGTTCAAGCAAGTTGCTAGAAATAATATAATTTCGTCAGACAACATTAAAGCAAACTACAACTCCACAGTTATACAATACATCAGCTATAGAAAATCATATCATGACGGTCAGTAGAAGTTAGATAAATTGTTAGCTTGAATGTCATAAGCTATAAATTTCCAGCTAACAGATCCTTCAAAGATCATAAATAGGAATCAAATTAGGCAATAAGGAATGTCGAGTGAAAGAAGTACAATTTCTTCCGTAATCAGTACAACTACTGCTAAAAATGGCTGGAAAACGCAACAAACCTCTCATTCAGAGGAGTCACAGGAGGACCTTTGTTGGCGATAATTTCGGCGTCGCTGACAACACCAACGACCAGCTGGTCACCGAGGGCACGCGCTTGACGCAAGGCGTTGCAATGGCCATAATGCATCATATCAAAACAGCCATCCATGTATACGCGAATAGGTTTTTTCCTCCTCCTCTTCCATACTCCCAGGGGAGAAAGATTCTGCGGCAGCAATACTCCGCCAGAGTATAACCCATACAGTGACACTCCCACCAATACGCCTCCGATCAAGCACGTCGCTAAGAACCTCGCGGCCAAGCGTTTCTCTTCCGTTTCAAAAGCCATTGTCGGTCACTCCTTCGCAGAAGCACCGGCGAAGGTAAAGTAGTTTCTACACCCTAAAAGAATAAAGTTAGCTCGAGAAAACTACCGAAGGTGATACTTTCAGATTCGACGATTTCGATTTCCAAAATTCCTTTTGTTTTTTTCTTTTTTTCATGGACAATAAATCATCTTGATTTTCGAAAACAAAAAATAATTATATTATTATTAAATATTTTAATACAAGTCATTACAATTGTAATTTATAATTATAATTACAATTACAAGTCAACAATAACACATGTGTAAAAGAAAAAAAAGGTTAGTCTCAATTAAACTTTACAATGTTTGTTAAAATAGCCCTACTCATAAATATAATAATATTATTATTAGTTAAAATTTTTATGGCACAAAATGATATACTTAATATTATATATTTAATGTAATTTAAAAAAATGCGATTGTTCTCAATTAATTTAAAATATGTGTTGGCCAAAAAAAAATTAAGATATGTGAATTTTTATATGTTACTTCTCTATAAAATTTTAAATATTATTAAAACTTTAAAAATCAGTAATCAATAAAAATATATTAAATATATAAATCTAAATATTTAAGTAGTTTTGCAGGTCAAAATTTTTTTAAGTATTTTTATTTTATGTTTATAACATGTAAAGTATAAATATAAGTTAATCCCTTATCACCACGGTTATATTTTTAAGTGGTTTTCAAGTTACAATGGGTAAATTCTAAGCTTATCTGACTTTTTTTAGCGGGGAAAAACTCATTATTATGAATTTTAAATTTATTGAAGATAAAACGACCCGAGAAACTTTTCTTTTGATAGAGAAATTTTCATAAATTCTGTATTTAGTTTTTTTTTTTTTACTAAAGAGAATTGAATAGTGTCTTGAAAACAGAAAATAAATTCGTGTATATTAATGAAGAGCAAGGATCAAACTTTCCTTTTTTTTTTTAACTTATAAATTTGGAATGGAGGGTTGTGTTAGGCCATCAACAGCCAATGTAAAAATTTGTTGAATCTATCATGAACATGGACAATAGACGTTATAATGTTAATGCTAGGTCGTTGCCCGTAAGTAACGCGCTGCATGGCTCGAGTACAGTGATAAGTGAGTTAGAGCCGCTGCATCGGCGCCCGGATGTAGTGTTAAATGAGCAAGGGCTACCGCGTCATTCTGGACGCACGCGGCTAAAGAAGTTAGTCCATAAGAGCAAAATTAGATTTGGTACTTGGAATGTTGGGACATTAAATTGTAAATCTGTAGAGGTTGTAGGGGTTATGATTCAAAGGAAAATCAATATCCTTTGCTTGCAAGAAACAAAATGGCGTGGAGAAGAAGCTAAGGATATTCAAGGTTTCAAACTTTGGTATACAGGAAAAGTAAGTGCACGCAATGGAGTAGGCATCATTATAGATAAGGAGTGGAAGAAGAACGTTGTAGAAGTTAGCAGAATTGGAGACAGAATTATTTCTTTAAAAATGATAATTGGACGTGAGACTGTTAATATTGTTAGCGCTTATGCGCCGCAAGTCGGGACAGAAGCCAGTCTTAAGGAATTATTTTGGGAGGATCTGGAGGGGTTGATTCGACACATACCACAGAGTGAAAAGATTTTTATTGGAGGAGACTTTAATGGGCATGTCGGGAGGGAAGCTGGTCAGTATGCGAGGGTGCATGGTGGTTTTGGTTTTGGAGAGCTAAACAATGAAGGGCAAACTCTTCTTGATTTCTCATTGGCGTATGATTTTAAGATTGCCAATACTTGTTTCAAGAAGAGAGATGAGCATCTCATCACCTACAAAAGTGGAGCCTCAAGGTCGCAGATTGATTTTCTTTTGGTTAGGAACACAGATAGAAAACTTTGTAAAAATTGTAAGGTGATCCCTGGAGATGCTGTAACGACACAACATAGGGTCCTAGTCCTTGATGTGTGTATTATGAGTAAAATCCAAAAACGTCGACAAGTAGTAACACCAAGGATTAGGTGGTGGCAATTAAAAGGTGAGAAGCAAGATATTTTCAAGCGAAATCTTTTGGATAAAGGAATTTGGGATTCTCAGGGAAGTGCTAACATCATATGGGAGGATATGGCTAAAAAGATACGGGAGGTTGCAAAAGTAGTTTTGGGAGAATCGAAAGGTCTTGGTCCGAGAGATAAGGAGTCTTGGTGGTGGAATAATAGTGTACAGGACAAAATCAAGTATAAGAAGAACTGTTTTAAAGCCATACATTTGTGTAACAATGAGGAAAATTGGGAGAGGTACCGTATGGCTAAGAAGGAAACTAAGAGAGCTGTGGGTGAAGCTCGTTCTAAAGCTTTTGAAGAATTTTATAAGAACCTTGAGACGAAGGAAGGAGAGCAAAATATTTATAAGATTGCCAAGAGTAGGGAAAGAAAATCAAGAGATCTAGAACAGGTAAGGTGTATTAAGGATGAAGAGGGAAGAATTTTAGTTACAGATGATGAAATTAAAAATAGATGGGAGACTTATTTTTCTAAACTTTTCAATGATGGAGAGGATTCATCTAGTAACTTGGAGGATTTAGTAATTGGTGAAGGAGAACAAAATTTGTCATTCTATCGAAACATACGTGATAAGGAGGTAAAGGAAGCTCTTAAGAAAATGGCAAATGGTAGAGCTAACGGACCTGATTGTATATCTATCGAAGCGTGGAAATGTTTAGGTGAAGAAGGGGTGAGATGGTTAACTAAGTTATTTAATGTGATTTTACGGTCCAAGAAAATGCCTGATGAGTGGAGGAGAAGTACATTAATTCCTATTTATAAAAATAAAGGAGATATTCAGAATTGTACTAACTATAGAGGGATTAAACTCATGAGCCACACAATGAAATTGTGGGAGAAAGTAATTGAGCATAGGTTGAGATTGGAGACAAGTATTTCTGAGAATCAATTTGGTTTTATGCCAGGTAGATCAACTACAGAGGCGATTTATCTACTAAGGGGATTAATGGAAAAGTATCGTTGTAAAGATAAAGATCTACACATGGTTTTTATTGATTTGGAAAAAGCTTATGACCGTATACCAAGAGAAGTGCTTTGGAAAGCGTTGGAAAAAAAGGGAGTACGGATTGCTTATATTAAAGCCATACAAGATATGTATGAGGGGGTAAAAACTAGTATAAGAACGCCTAGTGGTCAAACAAAGGATTTTCCTATAAAGATTGGGCTACATCAGGGATCATCTCTGAGTCCTTATTTGTTCAACTTGATTTTAAATGTTTTGACGGAACATATTCAAGAGGAAATCCCGAAATGTATGCTCTTCGCGGATGATATAGTTCTTATAGCAGAGACAAGAGAAGAGGTTAATTGCAAACTTGAGTTATGGAGGAGGACATTGGAGTCGAAAGGTTTTCGTCTGAGTAGAAGTAAGACGGAATATTTATATTGTAAATTTGATAAAGGACTATTCGAAAATAATTTGGAAGTAAAATTGGGAGATCAAATTATACCTCAAGTGGAAAAGTTTAGATATTTGGGAGCCATTATCCAAAATGATGGCGAAATCAGTGGAGATATTTCACATAGAATTCAAGCTGGGTGGTTTAATTGGAGAAAAGCTAAAGGAGTTATTTGTGACCGTAAGGTGCCTAATAAACTTAAAGGAAAGTTTTATCGTACTGCTATCAGACCGGCAATGTTATATAGTAGTGAATGCTGGGCTCTAACGGGACAGCAAGAGCATAAAGTTGGAGTAGCAGAGATGAGAATGTTACGATGGATGTGCGGACATACACGTAAAGATAAAATTCGAAATGAGCACATACGTGAAAAAGTGAGGGTGGCACCTATTGAGGAAAAAATGGTAGAAAATCGGTTGAGATGGTTTGGGCATGTACAAAGAAGACCAAGGGAGGCACCAGTGAGAAGAGTGGAACATATAACTTTGAGTCCGATTAAGAGAGGTAGAGGAAGGCCTAAGAGAACACTCTTGGAAGTTGTTGAACGTGATCTCTTAATTAATAATATTTCTAAAAGCTTAATAAATGATAGAGCACAATGGCGTCTTGCAATCCATGTAGCCGACCCCACCTAGTGGGATAAAGGCTTGTTGTTGTTGTTGTTGTTGTATAAATTTGGAATGGAGAATCAAAAGAAAAATTAAATTAAATTTTTATGAGTGATTAAAATGTAGAGAATAGTTTTGGATTGAGCTTCTGGCTAGCATTTTGACAGAAACATGACATGACTAATAATATAATCACCGACTCACAGGAAAGGGAAGTAACACTTTCGAAAGCGACATAACATGACAATGAATTTATGAAGTTGATGGTCACATAATAATATTCTCTGGCATATTTAAAAGCATTCACTATGGTTTGAATTTTTAACTCTTTTTTTTTCCTTCTTACCATGAAAAGATATCGGAGAAATTACACTCTAATTTCTTAAAGTTTGGCTTGGCACTCATTGCGTTCATTTCCGCTTTCTAGATGAGCCTTACATTTTTCTTCCTTTTTATTACGTGTCCAAGGGGACACTCTTGTGTGCTTTTAAAATGAATTATTTTATTTTATTTTTTTATCAGTTTTTGAATTCTATTTCGAGCATTGAATTTTACAGAAGAAATAATATTACCCAAATTTAATGCCTCAAATTTTTGAATTCTATTGTGAGACATGTTGGTAATAAAGTTAATATTTTTCCAGTTTTTATTACTGAAATTTATGCTATTAAGACTGTTCTTAAAGTTTGCAAGCAATATGACTTTTGCAAAATTCACCTCTTCTTAGACTCTATTGAGACTCTTAACGTCTTATTTAGAGAGTGGCCAAGAACATTCATTTTGCACATTGTCAACTTGATTGGGGAACTCATCTGTATAGCGAGTGGGACTTGGAAGTACTACATGTCAACGGGGAAAACAAACACTGGTGCAGATATAATGGCAAAAACCAGCCATAGCTTTGGTTTCAATATCACTATTCTCCTGGAAGCCACTCCCTCTCGTCACCAAGCTCTTTTGGAAGGCAAAAGCTATTAGTGCTTAGTTGTTTACTCTTTAGTTTTCATTCATCGAGCTTCAGCTTGCCTAT